TTCTTGCCACTAGGCCACCAGAGCTCCCCCTTTTAAATTATTTTGTGTGTGTACCGTCAAATCAGATCTGACTGGTACAGGAGGAGATTGTTCCTCCTTCTCCAGCAGAGCATCTGGTGGATTTGAACCGTGCACCTCTGGGATTGCAGTACACACAATTTCTTTATAACATCGTTTACAGGAGCTCCTGACCAAAACCCATTTAATGAATAAATGATAGTACAGCAATATTTCAACATTCAGTTCTGATTCCCATGTAAATGGATATAATAACAGCTAAGTTTAAGAGGCACAGGGCACTCTGGTGGCCTTGTAGCAAGAAGCTGTGCTACAGTCCCAAAGGCACTCTGTGTAAGAAGTATGGACAGTGTCCTCCTGCGCTATTTACTGCTTCTGAAAACCCACCAGAGTCAGCTATGGGTCGGTTCTGAGTCTATGATAAACAGCAACAACAAACACATTTTACATATATTAACTTATTTCACCTTCCCAAGAAGAGATAGGCACTATTATAATCCCTACGTGATGGGTGAGCAAAAAGGCCCCAAATCGTATTAACTATAAAAGTAGTCAGTAAGTTAATTTTGGCCCCAGAGTCCAAATTCTTAACGATTTGAGTGATAGTGCTTCTTAAGAAATTGGTTTATCTTAACTAATTTCTACAGTATTGAATACTTAATGTGCTCACTCCAAGAGTCTTAAACTCTTTATCATTTTGGGCCAGCGGCCTCCCGCAAGTTCTTGGCAGCTGTCTCTCCGCCAGTTTCCCCTACAACTCGGCATTCAGCCCTCATTTCACTTTCAACACCCACCCACTCTCCAGCTTTTACACCACACACAACTGCAAGAACGCCTCTGAGCACAAACAATCTGCCTCTCTAACCCTGGACTCAGATCTCCCCTGATTTCAGCTCTCCTCGATTTATTCCGACTTCATCAGACCCGACAGTCCTGGTCCCAGCCTTCACCGAACTCCGCTGCCTCCCAGACCCCAGACTTCCCCGAGAACCTTCTTCCCACCTTACAGGGTTTCGTCACTTCAGTGCAGCTTTTCTTCCACGTCTTACACAACACAGCCTCAAAAATTCTCCACAAGCGCCCAGAGTGACAACCGTCACGAGCCAAGGACCTCCCGTGCTCGCGCCAAATCTTCAGGGTCAAGACGTTCCTTCCTGTCTCCCGCCTAAGTCCGATCGGGCTTCTGATTGGCCGTCGTCAGAACGCCGCGCGCTCTAGTCACCGCCCCCTTCTCCGCACTCGGGCCAGCCGGAAAACCCGAAGCCAATAAGATCATCCCAGGTCTCCCCGCCATCCTGAGGCCACGCCTACAAAATGGTGACGTTACCAACATCCGGGACACTTTTGAAGGTGTAGTTGTGGCAAAGGTTAAGGCGCATCTCTCAGGCTGCAAAGCTCACCGGGGGTTGTAGTCCTTGCTCCGCAACCTACTCTGAATTTACGTGCCCTCCTTTCCCTGTGATGTGGGAACCCTTCTCCCTGCCTAGCGTACCTAATTATCCTGCTGAGCACGGTTTTGAGAGTCTGGCTTGCAGGAAGTGGAAGCTGGGTTTTCCTTAGAGGTAAGATAGTGAAACTTTGTCTCACATACTTTGATCATGTTACAGATTGACACAGTGACTGGAACAATGGTCTTGAACATATCAGATGTCGTGAGAATGGCGCAGGTTAGGGCAAAGTTCAGATCTGTTGTTCTCAGGGTCGCTGAGTTGTAGACAACTCAAGGTCACCTAACTGCACGGTTCGGCATGTAGTTGAACATGGCTCAACAGTTTACTGAAAGTCCATGCACTGGGCGCTAGTTCTCCACCTGGCAAAGCAGAGAGTGATTACAGATCACAGCACTAGGTCTGCCTTAGGACCCAAATGGCTGCCATCCAAACCAGTAGATGTACTGGTAAAGTTCTATGTATGTTTAAATTACACTGTATGGTTAAGGAGTTAAGCCGCCAACTCAAAACAGGCAGTTTGAATGCACCAGCTGCTCTGTAGGAGAAAGATGTGCAACCCCCTCCTGTGAGATTTACTGTCTGAAAACCCCGCTGGAAGGTCGGCTTATCATGAGTCAGTTTCTTTTTGACCACATTTAAGTGGTATCACAGTATCTCAGCTGTTACCTCCGTGAGAAATAAGACCAAACTTATATTCTGTGCACTTCATCATCCCCATATATTCACACATTATGGGAAGTGGAGAATAGTCTTATAATGAAGGAAAAAAAACCCCTCAACAAAACACCAGAAACAAACCAAACCTTTAAAACAAAAAAAAAAAAAAAAAGCGCTAAACACTGGGGATTCTGAGGCCAGGCAAGATAGCTATTAAAAAACAGGTAGCAAGCTGAGATTTTAATGAAAAATAAAAATTAAATAAGTAGTTTACAGGCTAGTTTCCAGTGCTAACACTTACCTAAAACTCAAAAATCAACCACCACCTCACTGCTATGCAGTCGGTTCCATTTATAATCTCCCTTCATCTGTTTCTGAGTGGCTGTAAATCCTTGTGGAAGAAGCTGCCCTTCGTCCAGTGGAGCCATTGGTTTGGACTGCCACCCTCTGGTTAATGCACTACATGATATGATGCACTGTGACCACTATGTTCCTTTAAAATCCAAAACCTAATTCTAGGTGATGGTAAAGATTTTTCTTTCCTGAATAACACATAACAAAGAGCCATAAAGCTAAGAAGCAGGAAAGCAATCATTACTATAAGCAGTTAATTGTAGCTTGTTTACATAGAAGGCAAGAGGGCTCAGTATTTTTTCTGTATCACATTATTCCTCAAAAGCACTCAAAGCATTGTTTCCATTTTACAAATGAAGGAGTAGGAGTTGCACAAATTTGCTTCAAAGTCACACAAACTGTAAAAGAGCTAGAATCAAACCCTTGGCCACTTAATTATAGCATTAATATTAGACGGATGCAGGTTCTAAAATGGCCTAATTGGGAAGTGACGGTAAAGCTTTCCAGCAGGTGAAAACCGTAAAAGTAGGCTTTCAGGAATGAAAAAGGGCTTATATACAGAAGAGGCTTTAGAAATGGGCATTTTTGGTTTCTTTTTTATAGGGCAGTAGAAGTCAGGAAGAAATCTTCACAATTTTTATTTTTATAAACTGGAAAGCTAAAAAAAAATTATCCTGAAAACGTGTATCAGATGTGCCCAGTCAACTTTTAAGATATGGTGGTTGAGTAAAACATAACCCCACTACATTACAGTGGGACACAATGAGTAAAGCAGCCCTATCAGAGGTGGTGAGGTTGATGCAGAATAGAGCAAGGTTCTCATCTGCTGTCCATGGGGTCATCTGCATTGTGGTGTACTCAGTAGCACCTACCACCACAACATACATGAAAATACTCACCAGGAAATTACAGTACTAATTAAAGAACATTCTCCAAGACTAAACGTCCACTATGGAAAAAGGTAAATAGGATGTCAGGACTGAAAAGTTCTACATAAACTACTTGAAGCTTTCCAATTCCATAGGAACTTCCAGTTTCTTCTGTGCCTTTATCCACTGTTTCCTGTCTGCAATGCTACTCACCATCCCTTCCCTGGCTAAATCCTACTAATTTTCTGCATAGGTTTCCCGAGGCAGCTGTCCTTACATCTCTGAGACTCTTCATCTTCATATTGTATATAGATGCCTGGTACAGAGTAAGGAAATGCTTGCCAAATGAAGGAATCAAAAGGCCCATCCTTTGCAAGAACACTTTGCATACAGGCATTTAAATTTCACATGCGTACACTCCTAAAGCTCCAAGGTGAATTCAATTATATACAAAACTGCCTAGACAGGGTTCCAGTGACATCAGAGGTAAAGTGTTTTCCTGTAGTTGCTCTTAAGAGTCAAGACCCTGAGATATTTTAGTTCTCTTCCGTGTATCTGCAGAGCACTAGAAGTCAACAGGCAGCTCCTTGCAATGCTTTGCCGTTTGTGGCCAAGTTGGACTAGGAAATAATTAAGAGGCAAGTTCACCATAAGCAGCTGTGCCCCAGCAGTAATTAGAATGAGCGTCCTTATCACCTGCCAACTCAGAGTCATGGAGGAGGAATCAAACCACACTGGTAGGACTTGTCTGATATCCTATTCACAATAGTGCCCTAATAAGGCTTGGAGATTAAGAAGCTGCAGGTCACTTTGCTCCAACTGAGGGCCATTTAAAGTCACAAGAACAATTACATCAATAAATAGGTAGTTTATTATCATCATATTAGTAACAATGGACCAAATAATCATGAATTCGCTCTGGTCAGTATGGATCAAAAACAAAGAGGCCTTTCACCTCCACCCTCCCGAAACCTCAGTGATTTTATATCTAAAGTGATTCATATACACACCCATTATGAATCAGTAGACCTTTGCTAGTGATGAAAGTACAAGTTGAGAGCAGTGATTATGTCAGCTGACCACAATGAGCAAGGAATGTCTGGTTGAAGTTTACACGTGAAGTCAAAGTTCAAAAATGTGAGCTAAAGCTTCAACCAAGAAGCAGTGAACAGAAACACAATTAACACATAAAAACAGGCAGTGACTGCTCTGCCCCCATCTTTTTCTTCTATTCCTCAATTTGAGAACCTGACACACAGAATGAAAAAAAAAGTTATCAGGAGAGGACTCAGAGGGTATCAGAAATTCAGGGCAAAGGGGTGTGAGGTGGCAAATAATAATGTCCAACCAGTTGTAAGAAACAACTGGTCAGCTTCTGAATCAGAACTGAGTTAGAGCACAGAGCAAACAAGGAGGAGAGAAAATACTTGAGAAGGAAGTTTCAAATACCTTTGCCCAAGTCAGTATATAAGAGGTCTGGAGTCAAACTACTGCACAAACCTAGACTATAAAGACACCCATTTCATCCCTTCCCTAAACCACCATTTGCACCAGTATTCCAGGTAAGAGTACACAGGTTTTTATTTTTTAAAGTAAGGTTTAATTAAACTGCACGGCACCCAGAAGAGAGAGATGTACCAAAGAATCCACCTGAGAGCGGATTATACATCTTGAGATAAGGTGACGGGGAATATCAATGCTATTTGGAAGAAGGAATACTGTAATCAGAATATAACTCCAAAATAAACTGTACAATAAATTATTTTTTAATTGATCCACATGCAGACACACACAGACACATACACACATACTTCACACATTTCATTCTAGTCTTTTATTCAGTGTTGACTGTGACTTCCATGTTGTTCATCCCAGGAAAGGTCCGAGGTTAGGAAGAAAAAGGCTAGGCCCCTCTGTCACTGTATGTGAGATGAAATTTAAGACAATTAGAGGGGGATCCCACTTAGGTTGTCAGAATCATGAGCAGGAGGAAATAGCAGTTAACAAGGAAGATTTTAATTGCTTTAAAGAGGAAGAAAGCACAGAGATCTAACACAAGGCACAATGAACGTGGAGTCAGATGGAACCAAGCCCTGCCTTTAGTTACACAGCTCAATTTCAGTATGTGTTTTTGAAGGTGACTTGTTTTTTTCATGTTGTTTTTAACAGATAAGTAATGAAGGCAGTTGTACTGGCCCTCCTCTTTCCTTTCCCATTCCCTAAAAGGTGACTGGCAGAAGGCCAGTCTGACCACACATCCAGAGACTGAGTTTCAGTAGGAAAAGAAAGATTTTGACTGGAATGTGAAGAATTCAATTTGTAGTTGATTGCAGGTCAGGTTTCCAGGACAGAGCTCACAGTAGTGCCACTAAAGGGCCTCAGATGTCTACTCCACCCCCAGAGTGAGCAGAAGGGCAGACCCTGGAGTTATACTTCTCCCTCACTCCCATAAGCACTCGGCCTATAGATTAGTTCAAGTGATCAGGAGAATAAAAATACACCCCAACCCTGAGTTTGCTCTGTAACAAGTCTATTTACAATTTTTTTCTCACCTCTCCCTGGAGGTAAATCTGCGTGTAAGTTGGGGGCTGTGGGGTGAGATTCCCCAGTGAAATGACTGGTGACTAGTCAGTCTCCTTGTCTTTGCCAGCTGGGAGGGCTGGGATGGATTTCTGGAGACAGAAGCCTCACACCATCAGGTGGAGCAGCACTAAGCACACGCACTCTCTGGACCCAGGCTGTAGAGATGATGGGCTCTGGCGCAGTACATGGAATGAAATCGCCAGACTACAGAAGGTCACACCTGAAATATCAAAGTGCTTTGGTCCAGGTTTGGTGACCAGGGAGAGAAGGAAGAGGGGCATTTAGCTCATTTAAAAATTGGGAGGCCACTTCCCTGCTTATCAGACAGCGCAGTAAGAAACAGCTAAGTTTTTCCTATTAGGGGAAAAACATTACAAAACCAAACCCACACAAGGGCTTTTAACACAGCTTCCTGATGCTTGGTTGGACAATGTCTCTTCCTCTGGGAGGGGATACGGGGTTAACAGGACTGGGCACCAGCCTCAACATGAGACCACCCAATCTTTGACTGAAGAGACGACAGTCCCACAAGCAGATAAAAAGAGCAGTTTAAAAGGTGAGAAGTTTTAGTGCTCTTGCAGCCAGCCCACCTTAAACATGTATTACAAGCTTTTGACAACATACAAAATAGATCAATAACTATGAGGGGATCACATTCCCATTCTTCAATAGTAAATATACATGATAATAAATCTGTTATTAACAGCGAGACCAAATAGTGTATAAGGCAAAAAACATTTAAATAGGTACTGTGTCACTGCCATGCTCTGAAATAGAAACTCCTCTGACTAGATCTAGGCCCGGGACTTTTTTCATGAGGTCAAGACCACACAAATACAGCCAATACCCATGTGACACAGTCTAAATGCTGAAGAATATGAGGGGCAGCAGGTTGGAGAAGAGGACGATATTGACCCCAGTGAAAAGCTGGGGTTTAGCTTTTATCTGTGATATTTATTTCCATACTCTAAGTTTGAGTGCAGGGGGAAAAAAGATACACTTTGATAATATTGTACAAAAGGCATCAATTCCCATTTCAAAAATAAATGGGAAGACTTCACAGTCAAAGTTCAGTAACTTGTCAGCATCTACCCTGGAACTTAGCTGCAGGATCAACTCCTATACTTTCTTCTTTTCCTTCTATTAGTGTCCTTCTTTCAGCTCCAGTCAATTCAGGGTATTAGGAGCACTTCTAAGAGCTAACAGATTTGAATATGAGACTGATAAGTAAGAATTATTAGAGTCTGGTGACTGACCTAATCATTTGTCCCAAGAATCAATGTGGTCCGAAGGATAAAAAAGGAGAGCAGGTCCCATTATAGATCACCTAATCTATGCTCTCCCTCACCTAGCATTGAGAACACTTGGATTTCATCTGGTACCATGCACAAATCCTTTGCCTGTAAATTGCAAAGTTTTGGAAGTTCTCTAAGAAATTTAAACCTGTGATGTGGCCAGTAAATTTTTTTTTCTTTCCTCATTCATGTCAAGAAACATTCATGGCCTCCATGTTCATACACCAAGCTGTGAGCAGCCTCTCAGCTTGGCAATAGCTGTAGCAAACCTAAGTGTCTGGTTTATTGAACCCAGGAAGCCCACTCTTGCTGTGGGAGAAGGGGAAGTCCCTGTCTCATCATGAAGCTTAATTCCTACCTAGATTGGAAATCTATTTTTCTCTGCTCTTTAGGGTTTGGAAGATGAAGAAAACACGTATTGTTGGTTGCCAAGGAAGATGTATTAGACTGAACTGAGGCACATCTTACCAATATTTTTACTATCTTGGCATGGAGGGATCCCTGACCATCCTCAGAAGCTACCTTACCCTTGTTCACACTATTGTTTTTGACCCCTGGGAAGGGGAGAATGGTAAAGAAAGGAATGCAAGGATCCAGCTTAGTCAGATGGGCTCTCAATTTGGAACCAGGTCTTAGTTAAAGCCTTTTGCAGCCCCACAGAGCCAGCCCCTTCCATGAGGTACTTCTTTGCCATGCTGGAGCACCCACCAGGGACTGGAAAGGATAAAGGCCACTGACCTTTATGACAAATAAAAAAGGCTGAGGTGGAGCCAAGGTTAAGGTCAAGGTCTAGGCCCTATTTTCTTATCTCCCACCAGAGGTTTTGAAGTTTGTGAATCAGGAATGAATTATGGTCCCCTATCCTTAGGCCCCCCCTCCAAAGCAACTTTTTTCTTGAAGGGATGGGAACTAAGGGAAGGAAAAACATTCCTCAACCTCAACACCCTGACAAAACAGGATAGACAGTCCCAGAGGATTCAAATGGCTCTTGGTCCCTCTGCTGCAGAGAAACTGACTAGGTGTAAAAGGATTCCCAATTTATTTCACCCTCTCTTTTTATGTGACATTTAGTTTGATTGATTAGTATTTAGTGCTGATACCTAACTTATCCCTGGGAAGGTGAGAGAACAGAACTAAAAATAAAGCAGACCCATATCCTTGCCTTTCCTCCAAACCTGACCTTTAAAATAGATCACTAGTCTGCAAACTCCTTTTATGTTTCTGAAAATGCCCACCTAACCCCAGAAGTCCTGGTGATACCAGCCTCCTAAATGATGAAATAGAATATACCTGCCAAGCTTCCCCTACAGTGGGTAAGAGGAGGTAGGAATAGGACTCTCCATTCAGCCCCAACAGTGAGTTTACTCAACACAAGGCACCTTCCCCCAAAAGGAAAGCAAGAAACATGGAAGCTTGCTTCTTCCTCATCTGGCTAGCAGGGCTGCTAGAAGGTTGAATGCAGGGTTTGAGACCCTACTGCCAAGATAAAGAGTCCGATCACCAAGTCCAGAGACAAGATGCATAGATGGAGGTGAGCTGGGAGGACGCTTGGAGTCTAGGGGTTGGGTGCACTGGAGAAACACATCAGGAGCTCTCATGCAGGTTTCAGGGGAATGGAAGGGACCATCTGAGAAGAAAGAAGGTCCATCCTTTTCCTGAAGAACAAGACCAAGCCAGGCTTCACCTGAGAATGGGTGGTAACGGTGGTGCTCCGCGGGCAGCTGGAAAACAAAAAACCACACTCACTAAGATCACCTATTAGACTTCCTAGTCTTTAAATTTAACAACTGGCAAACTCTTTAATAATAAACGAAAAATTTTACTAAAATGAAGGTAAGGAGAAGTAAATTTTCACCCAAGAAAATAAATGTGCAAATTCTGCATTCTATGTAGATATGGAGGAGCATTCATTACTAATCGTCTCACCTCGGTTTGTTTTGCTAGGATATATTCTCTGAAAATGTCTATATTCTTCTGGAGCAGGAAAGTCTTCTACTGGATGGAAGGAATACTTTGACTCAAAATCATCTGAAAAAGAACAGCCATGTGTATCACCCATTGTGTGCTCCCACAGAATTCTGTCACTAAGACTCTCCCATCACCAGTCTCCTGTCCATTCTGATGGACTGGCAGGCCTACCCCACCCAGTAAGGCATGACTACTGAGACAGGAACAGTATTACACTCTATGCCACACATGCTAAAAGGCTCTTTAAGCTTGATTTCTTGGGCTGATTCTTTAAGCCAGGGTCGTGAACTAGTTCAGTCACGTAGTGAAATCTAAACAGATCTAAATTTTCCATATCTGGATGAACTGGAGTAACAGCAACAGAGGAAAGCAGAGGTCAGAGCCCTGAAGTGGAAAATTCAGAAAAGGTATAATAAGACTTTTCAGGGGACTAATGCAAGAAATTGAGGAAGAAGAGGAATGTGAGAGCTTTCAGTGTTTGGCAAACAGACCAGAATTACTGCCAGGACTAAAGAGAGAAACACTTCAAGGTAGCACAACTGGTGCCATCCTTGAATTGGGCACAGTTGTGTTCAACTCTGCTGTGCTATGCAATGTACACACTGTCCTTTTTTCTAAGAGGTGAATTTCAGTTTCTAGCAGGGCCATCACCTGAAATTTTTCCTCTTCCAATTCACCCACATTTCACAAATCCAAGTCCATTCCATTTCATGTTTTCAGTCTTGACTAAACTGAAAAGAACTGGTTCTAAGCCCTATTTTAGATCTTTCCACAAAAATTCAGGCATAAAGAGGAAAACTCAGCTGTGGCACAGGGGCAGAAAGAAATACATTTCTGTTTTTCAGTACGTTTTCTTAGAAACTGTTACCAGCGGAAACCAATGGGACTGAATTCATAAACTGGTAGAAGTTCACCTAAAATAGGAATACGTATCTCCTCCTAGAGAGAAATTTGACCAGAAAATTCTCTTTTGGTACAGGTTACCATCATTTAGCAATTAGACACAGCTGGGACAGCTATCGCACAGCCCCACGCCATTCCCTCTCTAAAAGAAAGCTCAAATGTATTGGCTCAATCATAGTCTAGGTTTCCATACTAAAGACATCTTCACTTTTTTTGAGACGCTCATCGCCTGGGTCTCTTACTTGCTGACACATCAACTCTAAAGGGCTTAAATAAAGGAGTGATGAGGAACCTTGACTGCCTTTTGGGAAGGATTTAAAGTTTCAGTTAGGACCTTTGAATGTTTTTGTCTTTCATAATTGATTTAAAAGATTATCTAACAATGATTTTTATCATCTATACATAACCTAGCAATTGATTACAAGTTTAAGGACTTACTGATTATAAGAGTAAGTACTTGGGTAGTAGTAAAGTTTCTAAAATAAAGATGTTTTCTTACCAAAAAATAAAGACATCTTTAAAATAAAAATTTCAGACCACTGGAGTTAGTGAAGTGAGGCCTTGCTACTCACCCAAGAAAGATCGGACCGTGGTAATAGAATCTCTATGGCCATTCCTCAGGGGTGGAGGTGGAGGAGGAGGAGGCCCAGCTGGTGTCCTTGAGGGTGGAGGGGGAGGCTTTCCTCGACTCAGAGGTTCTGACCCATGCATTCGGTATGGTGGCGGGGGAAGGGGTGCATCCCTGGCACCATTTCGGATCATGGGTGGTGGGGGTGGTGGAGCTGCAATCAAAATCAAAGTAATTAGGCTTGGAAGTGAGAGGCAGAGGGATCTGAGACATAGGATAAAAGAGCGCTTTGGTGCTTTGTCAAAGAGCCAGCCTCTGTGAATAAATAGCATGTATTCACCCACCCTTACATTCCTAGTTCTTTAACAGTGTCACTATTCTCTCAGATGTCACAGTTCAGAAAAACGTCTGACTCTTCCAATTCCCATTTCAGTCAAGAATCCTACCAATTCTTGATTTTCCCCCTTTTTTCTTGTTTGTCTTCCTCCACAATTCGAACTGAGGTCTCTCATATTTAGTCTGTTGTTTACTGCAGAGTCAGAACCAATCCATAGCTGACCCTCTGGTGGGTTTTCAGAGGCAGTTAATAGCACAGGAGGAGACTGCCCATCCTCCTGCAGAGCAGCTGGTGGTGGCCTCGAACCACAAGGCTTCAGGATTGCAGTGCAGCTTCTTGCCACTAGGCCACCAGAGCCAGGGTACTGCAAAAACTTCCCAAATGTTTGTTCACTCTTGTCCTTCCATGCCATATACCAAGTCACTAACTTCCCTAAAATATTTGCTCAATTTTTTTCAATGGCTTTACATTTCCTTTATTGTAGTCTGAAGTTGTGAGCTTCCATCCATTTATTCTCCTTCTCATTGCTTACACAGTAAGTAACCTACCATGACAGTAAATCTGACTGCATCTTGTCCCACTTTTATTCCTAGGGTATTAGATACCCCTCTTTTGCAACTCAACTGCAACATATGCATATCTCTACCACTCTACTTTATCATAATTTTTTTTCTATAATTGTATTTTATTAATTTTCATAAACATTTACAGAGATTTTGGGTTTCCATTCATTCATTGTTGCACTATTCTCTCTACCCTCCTCCCAGTTTGTTCTTGTCCAAATGCCACAGTGCTTGTCAAAGCCAGTTCTGATTAATCTTCTTTGTCAGTGTGTCCTTTGCCATTCCCTATCACTCCTCCCTGAGAGAGACTTCACCCTGATTCATAAGGGAAAGGGGATGGCGTATTCTCTTAGCTACTTCCTGCTGAAAAGGGACGCTGTGGGTTTCAGGGTGAAGATCTTCTCTCACTACTCTAAAGGGCCCCTTTGGCAGTAGGAAACACATAGACTATTATGGAGCATAATTGTTTTTTATAAAGTCCTTCTCCTGAGTAAGGGAGCTCTGGTGACCTGGTGGTAAGGAGTTATACTCCCAACTCAAAGGTAAATGATCCGAATCCATCAGCTGATCCTTCAAAGAACGATGGGAAATCTTCTGTATATTTTACTGCCTCTGAAAACCCCCAAGGATCAGTGCTAAGTCAATTCCAACTCTCCTAGTGTACTATGTATTCCTTAAAATCAAAGCAGTTATTATTCACCTGTGTTTCCACAAGCAATCAAACAGAGCACATAGTAGTAGGCAATCAATGTTTGTTCAGTAAACAGAATTAACACGTTTCGCTCTCTAACTCCTCTCAGATGCCATTTCTTACCCTTTTTATCAAACTAGATATAACTTCAAAATTCAACTAGTTTCTTTTTCTCAAGTCTCCCAGATCAGCTCACTCTATTCTGACCTCCTCGTTCTTTGTTGTCCTATGGCAGATAGAAGCTCCTGCCCTATTCTGGCCCTCAGTAATACGTACTAAAGTGAGATATTCAAATTATATGTAGTAGGAGGCTAACCAATGTTCAGCTTGGTTTTATATTGTCCAAAGGTAGTGTCACTACACAGGACAAAATGGGAACAATTCTTTTGGAATTAGGGAGTCCTGGTGGTCTAGTGGGTAAGGTGCACTGCCAATTTAAAGGCCAGCAGTTCAAATGTTCCAGTTGTTCTATGGAAGAAAGTGGACAATCTGCTCCTGTATAATTTATAGCCTCTGAAAACTCATTAAAAGGCCAGCTATGAATTGATTCCAAGTCACAGCAATGAGCTGAGTTGTTATTTTGCAATTACCAGATATACTCATAAAAATCATTCTATGATGGCCATATTTCATTTTTGAGGTCTTCAGCAAGTCTGATGCTACTTTTTGAACATTTGCAATAATCAAATCCAACTTAAATGAAAAAAAAAGTGACACCAAGTAGAAGGTAATGTTACAAGTAAATGTAAAGAAATGTTAGCATCAATGGATTATGTATAAACTCTCCCAATGGCAACATCAAAGAAACAGGTTCTGATGTGTAAACTGTATTATTCCTATCTACCTTTGAATTAACTAGTAATAATTGTTGTGTCTGTTGTTATGTATCATCAAGTTGAAACAAACTCATAGCTGATCCTCCAGCAGTTTTCTGAGGCTGTAAATTGCACAGGAATAGAAAGTCCCTCTTCCTCCCACAGGGCACTCATAAATTCAAACCACATGCCTTTGGGGTGCCAGAGCAACCAACCCCTTACCACCAAGCCACCAGAACTCCCTACTACTAATAATAGTGGCTACCATTTACTGTGTATCCATTATGTTCTAGGCACTGTCCTGGACATTTTACAAAGAGCAAATATTTAAAAATTCTCACAACTATTTTTGGAAAGTATGTGGTATCATCTCCATTTCACAAGTTAGGAAACTAGGACTCAGGTTTTGGACTAAGGTCATAGATCTAACACAGATCCAACCAACTGGTACAACAATCCACAAAGACAATGTTTAACATACTTTGGTAAGTAACAAATGAAATCATAAAAGCTTCAGAACAGTCACCAATGGTATAATGTAACTATTGGTCTCTCTCTGTACGGAGCAAAGAAAAGGTTAGAAAGTCAAAGATTATTAGTCCACAGGGCTAATAAACCATCTAAACTTCAGTTTGGTGACCATGAGACAAGAAGAACTACATGGCGCCCAGCTGCTAGTGCTGACAGATCTAAAAGGGATGACAATAGAAGGCCCTGATTGAGTGGAAGAAAAATGTGGACTAAAACTCAGAATTATAAAAAATGAGCAGGTTTACTGGTTGAGGGAGACTAACCCCCACCACTATGGTCTTTAGTCATCCTTCAACATGGAACTGATCAATCCTGTGAGTTAAAGACAGATGTGTAAGGTGATGAACAATGCCAGGGAGGGACATACTCGTCAAAAAAGCAACCACAGAAGACCAAAAGGATAGCATTCACCCAGGGATAGAGCTCTAAAGGCAGGAAGGGACTGGGACAAATGGAAATGGGAAACACAGGGGAGGAAGTGAAAGGAGCACTGTTACAATGTATTGTAATCAGTGCCAAGAAACAATGTCTTGTAATTGTTGAAGGAGAACCAATTTGCTCTGTAAACTTTCATGCAAATGACAATAAAAAGTTTAAAAAAAACCCAAAAAATAAGACTCAGCACAATCATGTTCTATCATGATCCTTTTCTAATTGCTTCTCCTAATGATTACAAATACATATCTGCCCAACTAGGTTTATAAGCCCATGAGGTAGAACTGTGGCTTTGGGTTTCTTTTTTTTTAATTTGTTCGCATGTTTTCGTTAAGGCTTTGGGTTTCTAAAGTGTGTTGAATTCCTTACTCTCTCCTCACCACTCTTCCTCTGCCAAAGATGCTGCAGAGCTGCTCTTGCCCGCAAGCCCTGTCACTTATACTGCAGGGTCATTAGCCTGAGACCTGTTGTAGTTATGGAAACCACCAGTCTCCAAGCTTTCAAACTCGGAGGTGGGGACATTCTTTTACAAAAGTCAGGAGCCAGCCTGATATGTTCATTTTAGCAAACTGTCATGAGGATGTTATGGAGAACTGAAAAATGGCCACTTAAAACGGGTAGAGAGGCGAGCTCTGGTGGTCTTAAAGCAAGAAGTTGCACTGCAATCCAAGAGGTGCACGGTTCGAATCCATCAGATGCTCTGCTGGAGAAGGAGGAACAATCTCCTCCTGTACCAGTCAGATCTGATTTGATGGTACACACAAAAAAGTAATAAAATAAATTAAAAACAACAACAACAACAACAACAAAAAAACAACAAAAACAGGTAGAGTACAATCCCAGAGGTACATGGTTCAAATATACCAGCTGCTCTGCTGGAGAAGGAAGAACAGTCTCCTCCTGTGCCAGTCAGATCTGATTTGAAGGTACACACACAAAAAAATAATAAAATGGGTAGAGAGAAGACTACGTCACTTAAGAGAGCATGTTTCAGGGAGCGCTGGTGGCCTAGTGGCAAGAAGCTGCACTGCACTCCCAGAGATTAATGGTTTGAATCCACCAGATGCTCTGCTGGAGAAGGAGGGACACAATCTCCTCTTGTACCCGTCAGATCCAATTTGCCAGCACACGCACAAAAAATATAAAAAAAAAAAAGAAAAGAAGAAGAAAAAAAAAGAGTCAATGTTTCAATAATAAATGCATAACTCATTATTTCTCCTTAATTAGTCAGAATTTCCCCAGAGTGACCACAGTTAAGCATGTAGCATAGCAATGAGATGTTTTGTTGTTACGTGCCATCAAGTCACTTGCGACTCATGGCGACCCTATGTACAACAGCCCTAAACTCCATTCTGTCCTGTGCCAATCGCACTGTCTCTGACACTCCCATTCCAATTACCCCAATCACTGAATCAATCCACCTCATAGAGGGCCTTCCCCTCCTGCGCTGTCCCTCCACCCTCCCAAGCATGATGTCCTTCTCCAAGGACCGGTCTCTCCTCACAACATGTCCAAAGTATGTTAGATGGAGCCTCAGAATCCTTGCCTCCAAGGGGCCACCAGGTTTAACCCTTTCCAGGATGAATCTGTTTGTTTTCCTAGCAGTCCATGGTATTCTCAATACTCTTCTCCAGCACCACAGCTCAAAGGCATCAATTCTCCTTCTATCCTCCCTGGTCATTGTCCAACTCTCTGATGCATAACAAGTGATTGTGAAGACCATGGCCTATATCAAACGCACCTTAGACTCCAGAGAGGCACCATTGCTCTTCAGTACTTTGGAGAGGTCCCTAACAGCAGACTTTCCCATGGCAATGCGCCTTTTAATTTCCTGGCTACTGG